TTGTCACTTACTAAATTGGCTTGCCATTAAGTCTTATGATCGCCTTCGTATGAAATTGTTTTTTTTTGTTGTTGTCGTTTACTAGTCCGCGTTTTACTGGTCCGCGTTTTACTGGTCCGCGTTTTACTGGTCCGCGTTTTACTGGTCCGCGTTTTACTGGTCCGCGTTTTACTGGTCCGCGTTTTACTGGTCCGCGTTTTACTGGTCCGCGTTTTACTGGTCCGCGTTTTACTGGTCCGCGTTTTACTGGTCCGCGTTTTACTGGTCTGCGCTTTACTAGTCCGCGTTTTACTAGTCCAGTCCAGTCCAGTCAAGTCCAGTCCAGTCCAGTCCAGTCCAGTCCACGAAATACCATATGCCGATAAGAAGGGACTATTATGCGGTAAATTATGCGAATTATGCGATTTTTTTTCCTCCACTATTTAAAGCTTGTTTTACTAGGGTTCTGAAAAAGAAAACCGCTTTGAGCTGTTCTAACGAAGATTTTTTCATAAAGGAATCAAAAATAAGCAATTATGAGTGAATTGGGATTAAAATTCAACTATGACATAATTATATACCAAACCTAGGAATTATGCCCCACATTGGCTCAAAAGGTCAGAAGGCTTACTATGTTGGACTGTTAAATTCACATTTCAAAATGACAAAAACAACTTCAACAAAACCGACTATGAATATAATCGAGTAAACATAGCTAATGAAAGCAAATATACGTGCAGTGCATAATGCTTCCCTGTACTACGGACTCCAGGTGCCTGTCCACCACGGATTTTCTTAGGTGATCAATTACTTCGTTACACGACGAACAAAACATCAGTCCATCATCCACGCGGAACGTACCAGCTAGTGGCGTATTTTTCTGCTCTGTCTTTTGCAGTCATTTTGAAGGAAGGTGCAATCTGGTTTTCTTTGTGCAACACGAAGGAATAGCGGGCGTTCTCACTATAAACCTGTCCATGAGGACGTCGGCGATATAAGCGAAAAATGTTAATGTTTAGATGTCTTCCGTAATATAAATTTTGCTGATTCGATTACCACAGTTCTTACAACGTCAGTGTATACGGATCATATGTCATGGATTTATATCAGCAATTCTGATAGGATAACTCAAAGAAATCAATCGTTGGAGTTGAGCCAATGGACAGTTCTTTGAGAATGAAAAACTAGCACCAGGCTTCGGATCGCCAAAAACGAATGTTTTTGGCGATCCGAAGTTTCTTTTTGAAATCGATCGTCTCGGTGCGTTTCTTGGGCATTTTAGAAGGTAAATCATCTTGAGCCTGCGTGCAAACGCAAATTTTTTCAAATAAGGCATTTATTTGTGATTTGTTTTCTAAGAATTGTGCAATTTTTTCTGAATTAGGCGATTTCTTGTGAATTGTGCGATCGTATGCGATTTGAGGTCAATTGTGCGAAATCGCACCATCGCGTAAAATCAGATGGCCTGTGAAAATCACTCCCACACTTGTGAAATGCCTGAAGCCTTTAATTGAGAATGATATAGAATGTAAAGCCTGAGTCATGAAAAGCACTCTTTATTCTAATGAAACCCATTTTCAAATATCTCATTTTATTAAAAACTGGATCATTGGATAATGCAATTCAAGACTTTTTATTGGCTTAGCCATTATGGTATATGAGCCAATATACCATAATCTGATATCTGCACATTGTAATATCCGGTTTCTTCCTACAAAATAAAGTCGAGAAGATTCGCCTAATATCTTGGGGGCCTTTTTTTTAATAAAACAATTATTCCACTCGCACTTGTTGGATATGAGAAGACTATAGCCAATAACTGTTAAATACCTGCCGGAGCTATCTATCATCTCATATCCAACGCGCGCTTGTGGAATAATTGTTAAATATACCATAAATATATTTCCTAAAAAGAAACTCATTTTTTACAAAATATTAGTTTTAAAAAAAAATAATTTAAAATTTGACCCTAATTTTTATCATATGGCAGAATGCAATGAGTAAAATAATAACCTGGTTTTTGCTTAACACCAAACACCTCCATTCTTATACACCTAGCACCATGGTATGCATTGGGCAGGATTTGCAGGTAGTGTGCTCGGACACTTTCATAAAGAACATGTTTTACCTCTGAGGACCTGTCACCATTTCCCTGAAAGGTCTGAAATCAAAAGTAACAAATTAAGATAAAAAGTTGTGCATAATTATGTTTTCAAACATGTAATGTGAGTGAAAGTAACTCTTCTTTTTGAAAGTATCAAGTATCTTGTTTTTTATTTTTAAATCAGCTGTTCCACGTACTCTCCTCATTTTCACACAATTTCACCTCTTACAATACGGTATTTTCAAATTAACTTTTGCAAGCTTAGTGGCATTCAGTTTTGACATCTATTGTCATTTTTAATGGGAAGTCTAGTAGAATCTCTGGGGTGGACTAAGGAAAAAACGCTTTCCTCTACATTTTCCTCAAAATAGTGCCAGGAAAACAGCCTCTATAATTTTCTTCATTGATTGCTTCCTGAAAAAGGAAAGTTCTTCAGAAATAACATTCCCAGTAAGATCTAATTGGGAATGTCACTTCATTCTGGAGGAAATTTCAAAGGAGGAGGCATTTGAATTTGAAGTTTTATTTGCATAAAACTGCAAATTTCAATAAAGTCAAGTGAAGTGGTCTTTGACATATTACCTTAATTTTACCACCTTCCTTGTAGCCAGTCCAAGTTGTTCCATCATCGGAGAATTTAATCGTATAGTTTTTCACCCACTGATCTTCTTGAGAGTTCCCTTGAGTAGACACAGCACAGATGATATGAAGTGTCTGCAGATCAACCTGTAGATATGGGTTAGTGTCACTTATTCTTGCACACCATGATGATCCTAATGTGTAGTTCAATCGACCATTCTTGGCTGGTGTGTTGGCACTTAGTTCAGATGAAGCTGTTATTCCACTGTCAGGAATTGCTCCATTTTCCATTCCCAGATCCAGATCAACACAGTCAGCTGATGAGAAAAGAAAGACACTTCCAGGTGTTTCAGACTTAACAAATGGTAAACACCACAGCGTACACTATTGAGTTATGGATGCACACGGGAGGTTGCTAAGCATGAAAGAAGCGTAAGAGTCGCGCGAGGCGATAGCCGAGAGCGACTCTAGCTTCTTGTGAAAAACCAAGAAAAGTTTCATCTAAAACCACATCGACAAAAAATACTGTCACTAGAAAATTGATCGCCATATGGTCGCAGCTTGATAGCCATGTTGAAATAAGTTGTCTGTGGAAACTTGCAAGCAAATATTAGCTTTCTCTGCGGGCTGCGGTAAAGAGAGGTTAGGTGACCGCTTAAAATGGCACTACTTTAACAGAAAATATTTCATTAAAAAAAAAAAACACCAAGTCAACGGAAACCCTATGTTTCTCTTTCCTCACCTTTGTAGAATTCTGCAAATCTCCGGAGAAGGTTCAATTTTTCGCACATTTATCGGGAATGGTATTTGATTAACAAATGGAGAAGCATTGACGGTGCCCTGTTCTTCTATAAAGTACGCAGGATGCGGCAAGAGCGCGAAAGAAGTGTAGAGAGGAACACAAGACGCTGTCAAATATTTCTTCCAACTTCTCGTGTAATCTAGCCGCTTCCTAAGTGCCCAACAACAGAACAGAACCCAGTCAAGGCTCTTTTATTTCTTTCGTAAAAATTCTATGTGCAAAACAAATTCCAACAGCAAGCCCAAAAAAAATATTGTCAACATAAAATAATAATACCCTCCTAACATAGCTAAATACGCCAATCGGAATCCTCGTTAGAATGGTTCAAGTAATAATAATAATAATAATAATAACTTCTATTTATAGAGCGCTCATATCCTGAGCTCATGGCGCTTTACAACACTGTGCGCGGGACTTTACCACACTGCTAAGCAGTTTACAATCGATTAAAGGCAAATCTAACAATGCCCCCTCCCCCCAATTCCCAGTAAACAGGCCAGACCACGTCACAGTAATCTCGTGAGTGGGTTCTTTAACGTCCCCTGCCTAACCTAATTAACTAATTAATAGATGCAGGAGACGGGACCTACAATTTATTCGTCGTTATCCATTTCTTGATGTTATAGAAAGGTAGCACATTCTCCTCAGTTATTTTAAGACCTTGAGTGTTGGTCCGGCCGGGGCTTGAACCATCGACCTCCCGCACAACAGTCCAGCGCACTATCCATTGGGCTAACTGGGCGGCGGTTTTATTTTTTTTAAAGCATTTAGAGCTGGTTAATTCTGTTGGGCCCTATTGATATACCCTTAAACTAAGAGGTGACTAAAGCTAAGTGTATTTCAAACACTTATAAGATTTGTAATACGCT